ACTCTTGTGGGACACTCTTGTGGGACACTCTTGTGGGACACTCTTGTGGGACACTCTTGTAGGAGTCGCCAGTGCTCGCCTGCATTTCGCGCGCTCGACACGCACGATCTCCGCACGACACGCACGATCTCCGCAGAGGGTTGCGCGGGCCCCGGACAAATCGCACTCTCGCCTGCATTTCGCGCACTCGACACGCACGATCTCCGCAGAGGGTTGCGTGCGCATGGGGCAAATCGCACTCTCGCCTGCGTTTCGCGCACTCGACACGCACGATCTCCGCAGAGGGTTGCGCGCGCATGGGTCAAATCGCACTCTCGGAGCACACACATCACGCAGCCCTGCCAAGCAGTTTCGCGAGTCCAGCCCCTCCAAACGACACCCGCTCACACGCCAATGCGACAGCGACATTCACCTCTACCACAACTCACAACCTCCCGATTCCCTGCGCCTGCCACGAATCTTTCCCCATCCACACGTCTAACGCGCACAAAGTACTGCGCCTGCCACGAAATGTCACCTCCCTCACACCTCGCAACCTCACGATTCCCTGCGCCTGCCACAAGAATCGCACTTCCACGCCTCAAAACCCGTGCGCAGTCCTGCGCCTGCCACGAAAAGTGACAATATCATCGCATATGAGCTTCAACAAAATTTGCACCACACCACACGTTTGGAATGATTTCGACCCGTTCAGAGCACACGCCCATCCACCAAAATCGCCATTTCAGCTGAGACTTGTCACGAAAACCGAGCTTCGATGCCACACCCTGAAATGCAAATCCTAATGGCCGGCCCATCCAACACCCCAAAAACACGACTCTCCAAACGCTAATCCCAATGGCACTGCGCAGCAAACTGCGGATCTCACAAAACGCTGCGCCTGTGCAGCGAAATGCATCACGTTTCTTGCGCGACATGTCGGTGTCATGCAAATCACAATGGAATAGCGGCGCAAACTGACACGTGACACATCCATGAAAAGTCACTTGCAAAAGCTTCCCCCAATGGCAGCAAATTTGAGGCGCGACGACGACGACACGACGACGACAGACGACGAGAGACGACGAGAGACGACGAGAGACGACGACAAACGACGACACGACGCAAGCCATGCAAACACAGCTCCAACCCCCAGACCCCCAACTATAAACGGGAACCCTTCGCTACGCATTCGGGAATAACGTGCAACGCAGTGGAAGCATGGACGCGACCAAAGTACTGCTCTGGAGTTGATCCAAAAACATCCAAAAACGATCACTATGATTGAGCGCTCTATTTTTGCAAAAGCCCTGGTCTGCAAATAGGATCAAATAGGGTCGCTACGAAGGACTGTGGGGTCTACGAAAATACTCGATCTTCACTGGTTGGCCCAAAGAACCTCTACATGTTGTGTGCCAGGCAATATGGTCCGTCCACCGCCCATCGACAGAACAGTGGCCACAGGGCCATTTGGTAAATGCTACGAGGTTTGCCCAGTCCTGTCCGCAGCCAACAGGAACATGCTCAGTGTGCATGTTATATATTGGCTCAGCGTGCATGTTATATATATAATATATATATATATAATTCTGTTTTCTACAAGGTGCCTCCGTCCATTTTTTCCCAGGCAAATAAGTCCGTTCCTTGTTGACTTCGATGATGGAGCCTCCTCCAGACATCCGCCCGGAAGATGCAAGCGCATCCTGGGAGTGAGATCGTTCTTAATGCACAAAGGCTCGGTCTGGGACCCACATACCTAGGCGATCGAATCTCATAGTTATAAAAATATATGTTTATGCACCTCAAACATGTGGTAATTGGCTGGGATTCATGAGCCTTGAATTAAGGATAGGATCTTGGATCCAAATGGACCAAAGGAAGACTCAGCTCTTTTTGGGGCCTCATAAACGAGCAAATTGGGATGCTCTAGAGGTGATGGTGGTTCTTACGAACAAACAGCGCAAGCAGGTCTCACATTTCAACACATCTCAAAACGGGCGTCTACAACAAAACACAATGATGATGTTGTTAGTAACGAACCTAGGGGAACATATACAGAATTGTACGTAATTATGTATGTTATAATATATACCTCAAGGATGTCCACTCCAGTAAAAACTATCACATGGGATAGGAAAGTTCAACGCCCTTCGTTCCGGTCTTCCTTCGAATTACCCCAGGCCCTTCTCAAAGAACCCACCAGCCTGGAACCTCTGTATGTTAACCAAAACTTTTGCACTGCTCGGACGATAGATCGAACATGATCGAACTTATTAGACATTTACACCGCCAAAAAGCACCTCCTCCCCGGTTCATTTCTGGCCAAGTCGGGTGGCATGGAAAATTGGAATCTCAGAACTCAGGTTTAGCACGACAGACCGACAGCAAAGCCATGTGGCGTCCCACACCGTGGACTCATCTGAATGGTGAAGCTGGCGAACTCGTCACGGGCGAATTCGTCGTCACCGTTCAGAGGTTGCAGGCGGCGCCCGCGCGGAGTTATGCTCCATTGGCACACTTTCAAGCCAAGGTCGTGCGGAGGGGCACTGGACATCGGGTGGGTGGCTGGTGGTTAGTGTAGCTGGCTTGTGTTGAGTTTGCACTGACTAAGTCTTAGCCGAGCCAGTTCTTCATGTGGAACCAGCCACCAATCACTTGGTTCTTCACCTCAGCTTTGAGAACCTCTTAAGCCCAATGTGAGTGGTCAATCATTGGCCCAACGATGGTATCTGTTGGGCAATTCTTTCGGCCCTTCGGCAGCAACATCGGTGAGTCCGTTTTGCAACAACATTCCATCACCAACCAAAGGTCCATCACAGGCTTATCCGCTAAGACTGTAGTGTGCATAATTAGTATTATATTAATAATTATAGCCCAACATATATATATATACCCGACATCATCATGCTGGCTCGTTTGGGATTTTCAGTGCTTCCCCGGGCGGGCGGGATTCAGCCCCTGGAAACCGAGTGCAGCTTTCTTCGGTTCAAGACTCTCAGAATCTCAGGGGTCTGGTAGTAACTCAGAAAAAATGTACCACAAGTACGACCGACTGAAAGGTCGCCTGCATTGTTTTCCGGAACTGCCAAGTCATCCAACGACGAAACCTCAAAGGGTTGATCTACGAGATCGTTTGTTCCGACGGTCGAAACCAAGGGGCCCGAACTGCTCCACTTCGATGCTTTCAAGGAGTGTGATAAACAAGTGTAACAAATTGTAACAGTAGTGTGTTCAGTGGTCTTCAGGCGAAAAAAGCTTGTCACGAGATCCTGTTGGCCACAACCAGTCTCCTGACTTGACTGGGGGTCTTCAGAAAGCAATGGTTATGCAAGCGCTTTGATTTTTCAGCCAAGCGCTTTGATTTGACATGAGGAGACTTCTCCAAAGTCATGCGTTTCCCATGACAAACTACCTGGGACGGCTCGAAACCCCCGTTGGCCGTCAATTCTGCCGAGCATGCGGGTGTTGCACGTGACCGCTGCCGATATCCATCGACCGCATGCGAAGCAAGAACCTTTCGAAAGGTCTTTGGTCTCTGATGAATGAACATCCAGCAATCATGATCAATGAAAGTCGAATGCCCCCAAAAAAATGTGACAATTCAAACAAACATGCTTCTATTATTTGTACCTATTTGGTCCCTGGCGCGACTGCGCGCGACTGCGATTGGTGCACCATTCACCATTTCACTTAGACTCAGTAAGGCTTGCAATCACTTCTCAAATGCCTGCATGTTGCGACGGCGAAGACCAAGGAACTGTTTCAGAAACAACCATCACCACTGATAAACACCTGTTGGTGGTTGAAATGGTGCATCTTCTATTCAATCGATTCACTACTCCAGAAGTTAAAAATGCAGGTATATGTATATAATTTGTGTAATTGATGCTAAATGCATCAATGCATTGACCTCTCAAATCTCAATCCAACGAGCGCGTGGCTGGCAATACCTTGCCCCTTCACTCAGTCAGTTGGTTCTACCCAATCTCTTGGTCAAGCGATGGCGCAGGATGGTTTCAGTACTTGCGTATATTATATGTTGTTCTTTGTTCTTTCCATGTTCAGGTTCTCTGTGTCCTTTTTGCGTGCCAGCATCTAAACTGGGACCACTACCAAGGCAACTAGTGGAGTCAGTACTCTTCAAATGCATCCTGAGTGACCTGAATGAGTGGGTTCATAAGGGCCTCCACCAAGCAGTTGAGTCTTTGACACGTGCAATGAATTGCTGCTTAGAGGGAGCTGGCACCACATCCAGTTGGACTGACATGAAGACTATATGCTCCACCAAACAGAGTATAGCAACATTCAACTATACGACAAACTCTCAGGTATGACTCATCCGGAACAAAGACGATATACTTGTCGAGGCAAGTCACCCACTACCCCATTTTGTTTGCACAGTTTGCAAAACGACAGGTGAACACCTTTGTGCATGTTAATTCTATAGCATATTTTATCCAGAGAAAGAAGGGAAACTCCAACCCTGAAATGGTGCTCCCCAGGTGTTGCAGAAAAAAAAGGCGGTGCTCTCCAACCCTCAAAAGGCGTCGAACATCTGCTGAGACTGCCCAGGCCGGCCTTCCAAGCCTTTCGCGGTCGGTAAAGGTCCTCTAAAACCATCAGAAGTGGTGGCAACGCATTGAACACCTGCACGGGTGTCGCCGTTGGGTTTCCAATGACTTGCGCCGGAACCCCTTGTTCACCCATCAAAGGTTCCATCGGTAAGCGGCTTCCCAGCATCATGAATTTAAATAGGTTTAATGGTTGATACCATACCGAACCACCATTGTCTTTGTTTAAGGATTTTACACTAAGTAACACCAGGTCGACCGCGCCGCTTTGTTTAATGGCCTTGGACTTCCAGGGACATCAACACACCTCATCCAGCAGTGCCCTTCAGGATGGTTTGGCTCGTCCAGACAGAGGGCCGATGGATGTGGGGCCAGCTGGGCCCCTCCCTTCGATTGAACGGCACCCCAACTCCATGGAACGTCTTGGCTGGGTTGTGCTACTTGGATGTGTATTTTAATAGGAAGACCCCCTGGCCCCGGCTGGGTGCTGTGAAACCCGATCAATCCAGGGTTTTAGGGGAACGGTCTCCCGATCAATCCTTTCTCTGACTTGGGCCTTGACTTGTGTCTTTGCCTTTCTACGTCTGAACGTTTTAGACGGGGTCCGGCTAGCTGAAAGGAAGGGGATGCCCCTTCGGTGGAACATGCATGCCGAAGGCAGAACTCGCTTTGACCGCGACAAAACATATCAAACTTAAGGATTTGAAGGTTTTCAGTAGGAACAAGGCCAACTCAGCTCTTGAGCCTGTTTTACCCAGCACTTGAGCCTGGTTTTTTCTAAGCCTTTCGCGGCCTTCGCCCCTTCACAAGCATTGATGGCAGAAGACAGGCCGATAGCATTCGCGCCATGGCTCAACCAAAGGCTTTGCCTCGGACGAGTTGAGATCCATCATTGCAACTCATCCATGCGCTGCTGGGTGACGTCAACCCACCTGGAAGAATAGAATTTACAATAGTGATCAATAGTGGAAACCAATAGAATTTACAACTCACCCATCCTGGAAGGTCCAGAGTGGAAACCAAGAGTTGACCGGCCACCGGCCCACCGGGCGACGTTGCTTCTTTGATCAGCAAACTGACTTGTTATTTTGTTTGGCTAGTTACACCACCAAAAAAATACACCTGTTTAGGGATCGAAACCGTCGCCAAGCTTCGTCAAACTGCTTAGGGATGGAACAAATGGGACACGCCTGGCAAGCCACACATCTCATGACTTGTACAGCCTCCTGGTGCAGCAATGTGCAGCACCACTCTTCCATCATCTTCCATCCATGCTCCACGGCGCCCAATTCGGCCGAGCTTCTCCCATTGACCAGCCCTCTCACATGCTTTCAAGACCGCCCCATCCATCACTGCATCAGGTTGTAGCCGCACACATTGAACCTGCTGACTGGCAAATGGGGCGGCCTAGATGCTGGAACTGTTTCAAGAACCAATGGCTGCGTTATCCTTTTCAAACGCTGCCTATTGCAACAATGAAGAACCAAGGGTTGCACGGTGCCTTGCATCCGTTCCAAAAATGGGAAGGCTCTTGGAAGCGTATAATATACAGATTATACGGTGTATATATAAACTCAGTCACAGGCTCTTTTTCCACGCGTTGCAGCATTCTTGTCAGAAAAACGATGAAATCGACTCGAATTTTAATTACCTCTCGGGGCCCCGACACCCCTCCCTCCCCGCCAAACCAGAGGAGAGGGGGTGCCCCCCAGTGCCCCTCATGGCCGCAGCCGCCAAACCGGCGCTCCATGAGCCCGAACACTCTTGAGAGGGTCTACCTTCAATTTCCCCAATGCCTGCTCTCAAAAGCTCTGCAACCATCCCTGAAATTTCACCGGGTCGAGAATCAGGTTGGGGCAGAGGCGGTTCAATGGCAAACTCACAAGGCATCCCCCCGCAATAGGGGAATGAGAGGCCTTGAGCAGCCTGCACGGACCTCACCAGCGCGCCAATATCTTTGAGCAAAATGGCATATTGACCATTGAAGAGGAAGGAAAAACACAATATGATGAGAGAGAAGAGAACACAAGCAACCACAAAACCAGAACCAAGCCCACAAAACCCAAACCACCAACGGCCAGAGGCCGGTACGTGTTTCCACTGTATAAAGGTGAGACAGGTGAAACAAAAACTGACTGTGAACTAACTATGGGCCTGAATTCACAACGAAAGTCGGACGGTTAGGTCAGCGCGCCTAGACACGGCGTCTGTGCGCTTGGACAGCTCCTTGAGGGGCTTTTTGAATGTGATGACCAAGTTGCGTGCCACCTCGCCCTCATCTGTAATGTTGAAGCTTTTCTCGACCACTGTGCGGAACTCATCACGCGTGATGCCAAGCAGTTGGTACGTTTCTTCCACCTCGTCATGCGTCGCCTCGGCTTCGGTGAAGCGTTGCGACTTGAAGGATCTGAACCCCGCGAGCGAGATGGTCGAAGTCCTCACTTTGATTCTATATGAATCAAGTAGCCCATAGAGCCGCTCCGGGCTCTCATCATCGTAGAGGCGAAGATCATCTTCAACCGTGGGCTCAAGGGGAATGCGTGATCCACTGTGTACGCTCCCCAACGGTTCACTGCGTCCTCCGAGCAGAGTGCCAACCCCGCAGGCTTGCGTCCTGGAGTCAATGATGGCCTTGCCGTAGTAAAGGTAGGGAACCTGCCCTGGGCTCCAGAAAATCACTGGGGTCTACCTGTGCGCAAAGCTCAAGCTCTCCTTTCACGGGCAACCGAGAGGACGGACAAGCGCTCACAGTCAACCCTCCAATGGACCGCGGCTCCCAATTGAACCAGTACAGACGAGGCCTGCGTGCCAATGAGACTCCTGAAGCATCCACCAGCCACGGGTTCATCCCATAGGCTTCGCTCATGATGGTGCAATCCTGGGCGTCCATGGAAGCCACGTTCTCAACTAAGACGTAAACGGGACACCACCTGAAAAAGCGCTTCAAGAGCTCCTCCACTCGGGGAACGTGTGAGATCAAACAAGATCTCGCATCACGCAGGGCGCCACGTGCCACGTCGATCTGCATTTAATCCCGAGACGCCCTGACACGGGGGTCCCGCACCCAGGATCACGGCAACCACTTGCGGGAAACGTAAGGCCCATTCGCTCACCTCTTCCACCTGAATACCTGCCACGTCCTCTACGTGGATCACCTCTGGGAACCAGCTCTCAACCACTCTCTGGCCTCGGGACAGATCTCCGCCGCCACATAACCAGCAACTGGCACGCGTAGGGCATCCACTGCCACACGTAGGGCACCTATACCATCAAACAGCGACACGACCAGGAGGGCACCTACCTCATCTTGGGAGATCACATCTCCCCTGCATGTTGCTAGGCTAGCGGCCACCCCATAGGGACTCAACTCCCGCGACACGCACAAGCCCCCTCCTGTGGTGGAAGCATCACTTGCCGTCACTTCTTCCGACACCTTTGTTCTAAAGTCCATATAGGCAAGGGGCGCCATTGCAATGAACCTCAACAACTCCAGCGCGACGTCCACGTCAAGCTTCTTCCGCGACCTGCCTCCACCTGGCCCTAACTCCACAATCTGCCTCCAAATCGCGTTCAAACCTGACAACAAGGGTCTTCGAAACATGGCCATGTACACGAAGCCTCCTCCAATGACCTGCAACTCTCGCTGGGATGCCACTCCTGCAATGATCGCTTCACAAGCAAGCCTCACATACCTCATGATCTTGTCTATCTTAGGCGTGGCACGCCCTAGGTCACATCAACCCAAGCTCCCTGAACCTCTGCCTTCACCGCCTGGGTCACCGCCTTCTTCGGGTGCCTTGGTAGTCCCAACCTCTCATATGTCTCTCGCACAGCCACTTAAGTCCACACGGAAGGGGTTCCGGCGATCATCGATGCAAGGTGCCTGTCAACTTTCTTCAACTCATCGTAGTTATCCAAGTACACCCTGAAAAGGTGCGGGGCACGACTGTGATGTCGGTCTCGCCGGATCTCCTGATGACCTGAGGCCAACCTTTGCTCGCCTTTGAGGGCCTGATTGATCACCCTTCTGTGGATGTGCTGAGCGATCGCCACTGAGTTTATGAAACCCATTGGCAAGACCTGAGTCACCAAATACCAGCCTCTTCCAATGCATTCCGCTGGGAGAGCCTCTTCAGGGATCTCCCTTCCAAACGCCATGAAACACCACCAGGAGGGAGGTGTCCGGAACAAGTAAAAGAAACACCGTATATCCTCAGAAGACGTCACCAGCAACTGGTGATCCTCCAAAACTATGGAAGACATACCAATGACACTGGGAAGGGTAGATGTATCTCCTGTCAGGCTACGACAGCAACCATTAGTGGGGACCAGATTCGTAATCAGCCGGCAAATCTCAAACTCCGAGCCGTCTTCGTCCGTGGCAAATTCATTCTTACCAACAGCAAAAAGTCCGTTCAGAACTGGTTTGCCATTTATATGATGTATGTCCGAGATGTGCATGGCACGACAGACCCCACGCCGAATCAAACCCGAGCAGACCTGCGGCCAGTGCTCGAGGTCCACCATGATGCTGGGCGTCTTTCCCATGAATTGATCCTCAAGCGGGAGCATGAAGGACTCAAAGTTTCGGACATACTCTAGGGTCCCGCCCTCACAAAACTCCTCCAGGTCTAGGGTTCCTACCGCCTCAGGGAAGGCTGCCTCCACCATTGACCACTTGAACCGTCGGGCTACTTGTACCTCTTCGCCTGAGTAATCCACACCCTTGCCCTTGAAGAACTGATCGAAGTCCGTGTCCGGCAATCTCTCTTTAGCTAGTCCCGAACTCACCACCGTGTTCTCCAACCGTTCAACCAACATCAACCGGGTTTTGTCTTCTCTTCTCCTCACAACAGCTTTTGTCCCATAAAGTGAATTCAACGCATGCACCAATGCATCAACACAAGGGGGAACTTGGCAATCCCTTTTCAGAGACGAAGGAAGGGGCAAGGGGAAAAGATCCCCCGTGGTCTGGCTGCAACGCATGTACCGCTCTGCCTGCCCTTTCAACGCCTCCGAAATCACCTCCCCCAACTCTCCGAAAACTGCATCCTTTTTGCGACAAACCTTAGCAAGGTTATGGCGACATCCTTCAAATGCATGTCTCCAGCTTGTGTCAGCTTTGCCACCTTCCTCTCCTCGGCACGACTCAAAGGTCAGTCGATCGGAGGGCTGTACGTCACACTGGGAGTCTGCAACCAACAAGGCGCTCCCGTGATCTTCTGCACCCAAACGACTCAACCCTCCAATGTTTCCAGCATAGATTGCTCCAGCCTCCTCACACTGGGAGGTCGAATCCTCCCGTTGGGCGCCCAACATGCATCCATCCTCACCAATGTCTCCAGCTTGCCTATGCTCAGCCTCCGGACACTGGGAGATCGAATTCTCCCTTGAGGAACTCTCCTTGCTTATACTCTCACCAAGCCCTGCCTCAGCACGTCTCAACTCATAGCCCTTCTCTGCACTCTCCCTCAACAGCCTCTCAACCTCTGCTTCGCCCAAACTGCCCTCTGCCTCAACCAATGCTCGACCAACCAAGCTTGCCTCACCCTGCTCCAACACACTTCCTCTCTTTGGATCGCTTCTAATCCCTCTGCTGAAGATCTCTTCTCTTCTTTTCCTTTTGCTACTCATGCTTCTTCTTCCCTTTTCCTTTGTCCTTCTTGCCCTTCTCGCCTTTTCCTTTCTCTCCAGCAGTGGGATAGCGATCCTTTCCCTTTCCAGCACCCTCTCCGTTTTCTCGAGACCCTGCAGACGCTGAGAAGCCAGTCGGTTTCGAAGTTCTTCACGGGCCATCTTGGCGGCTTCAGCCCCTTCAGATCCTTGACTAAGGCCTGCCTGATCAGCGCTGACTAGCTCCAGCTGTCTGGCAACTGTCCAATGCCCTCCATGGACCTGTTGTTCGAGAGCTTTGACACGCTGAGCCAATAGATCGAGGGCGCGCACAGGATGCCCCCGAAGGAGCAAATCTGACCCCCTGACACAGCGTAAGGAGCTCCTGACTCATCGAAGGCGTACACAATGACTGCACCTGTGAGCGGTACTTGGATGAGCGCTGCGCTTGTATTTAGTTACAGCAGAAAGCGAACTTGCTAAGTTACTTGCAAGCCATCCATGTAGACTTGCAAGCCTGCTAACATAATGTTGGCAAACTTGCATGTTGCGCAAGATGCACGGTTAACTTTGGCGAACTTGTAAGTCTAGCGCGGTCACTTATAGATTGCTCAAGAGAGTTTACCTACTTAGGCGCTACATACGGAAGATATTGCTAAGAAGCATATGTATTTTTGATACAACTTAGGGGACATATAGCTATGTGCCCTAAGTTCAACAAGTTGTGATGTCGGAGTTGGCTAAGTGTACCACCCACACTTAGAATGCCA